TTGTCCTCGACACTGAGGTCACCAAGAGCTTTAGAATGTGACACTTGTCCTCAGCTCTGTTTGCTCCCCCAAGGGCTATTCATTGACACGTCACCTCGGCTCTAAGACCCCGAGACATGGATGGATAATTGACGGCTGTCACCAATTGAGATTAGAGCTGATCATTCATCATTGATTTACTTTCCCAAAGAAGTGAGAATGGCATAAATGACAAAACCAGCAACCAAAGGGAATTGGACACTTGACGTAAAATACAGAATTGGGGGTCAATGGACAAGAATGCCCTCGCTAGCACACAACCATCACAGAAGAGCATTCAACGATCCTTCAGGAGGATGAGACGTGTTTATCGTCCAAAGAGCATTGGTGGAAAGGCATTAAGTGCTCGGGAGTCCAAACATTTAATGTTGATTGACCTCCCATGAGGGACATGAGACGTTCTGCCCAAGTACTATTCACCCCCATCCGTTACCTCCCAGTTGGGCCAAATGGGACTTCTCCCTAGGGGGACCCACCTGCCAACAATGATGACTTCCATGAAAGATATAAATAGCTCTCACAATATGGAAATACGGGTACGCAAAAACTCATTCAGCAATACAACAGTGTCTTCACCCCTCTTACAGATACTAACTAGACCGTCTGGGGGCTTACGCTGAAAAATACTCCGGCGCCCTTCTAACTCTCTTTTTTGAGTGAAAAATTCCTTCTCGATTCGCCATAATTGCACGGACTACTTAAAAAGTAATTGATCGCCACTCCTCACGATCCTTCTCACTTCCATTGTCTCGGGATCCTTGACTTTCATGTAAATTTCATTGTGCAAAAATCACTGCACACAGTAATGGTTAGATCATATGATTTGTGCATATGGCTCAACAAATTTGCGTTTGGAGCGCAAATTCACAAATTCAAAGCGAATTTGTGAATTCAAAAAATTAAATTCGTGAATTAGACTACTTTTGGGGTTAACCACACAAATATTAAAAAATTTTAAACGAATAGGTTAAGCCTTGGACCAAGCAAGGCTATAAAAAAATTTAATGGACTTAGCCCCAAAATGGAGGCTCAATCTCCAAACACGAAAAGATAGAATAATGGTTAAGTCCATTGATAGGACTTGACGGGGCCGGCTGATCCCACTTCTCAAATTCATTTTAAAGAATACACAAGGCATTTTAATGCTTTAATTTTTTTCAAAAAAATATTCGTTATATTATTTGTTTTGTAGTTTTTAAAAGTCAAATTAATTACTAATATAATTTAAATAATATATCATATATTTATATATATAATTTAGCTTTTAAAAATATATTTTTAATAAATTTTATATATGTAAACATGTATATATGTATCTAGTATGAGGCTCTGAAGGTGTTTCCGTTCTCACAAATTTTTGAATTTTTATGTTTTTGGGCTCTCGCTCTCATTCTCACTCTTGCACCTGCACTATATGATCTAGTGTAATTAGGGATGGCAGTGAACCGAAGCGGGAGCAGGGATATAGTCTCTATCCTTGTACCCGCTTAAAAAAATTTTATTCATCCTCAGTCCACCCCCGTTAATGGATATAGTTTTCATATCCATCTTCGTTCGTGGGTAAATTTGTAATCCTCATTCCTGCCTTCACCACCTGCCCAAGCCCAAGCCTAGCATAATCCAATGTTGTAAATAACCCAAAAAATTGCATGTCACCAACTGAAAATTACCACATAATTCTTCTCATCAATAAGGACTTGCATTTAATTTACTGAGTAGGCAAGAAATCTATCCAGCACTTTTCAAGCAAAAAGTCTATTCAACAATATTCAAAGAGCAAAAATCATATTCAAGTAGAATAAAATCAAAAATCAGCAAAAATCATATCTAACACTATAATCAGAATTCAACAAAGACCATATTCAAGTAACATAAATTTAGAAAATTTAGAATATTGCATATTTAACACAGAAAATTAGATGTAGGACATGAAAATTGCAAATTTAACACAAAAAAAAAAAAATCAAAACAAACAACATCTAAAAACCTTGTATCTAACACACTATAGATCCGAAACAAAAATCCTCAATAGCTAATACAACACAGACCCTTAGATCTAACAAAACTCATCACAAATCTAACAAAAAGGATCACAGATCTAACAAAGTCATAAAAAAGAACACAAAAATCATAGATCTTACCTTATTGGACAAAGAAAAAAAGGTGGGCCACTGATTTTGAAATTAACTTTATAGGGGGGGCGGGTTTATATGAGTATTTTCGTATACGTCCACCGTCCAATACATATGATCCATCCCTAGTCTAAACGTGACGGGTTTGAACGAATACCCATTTTTTTACGGTCCACTGTCATCCCTAAGTATAATGGACTAACGAGTCCCAGTTGACTTTATTATGGATAATTTTTAAAAATAAAATAAATATATGTTGGAAATTATCACACTCCAAATGCAACCCGTTTATATGATAGATCTTATTATACAATTAAGGATAATTTTGTGCCTGAAGATACGGTGCAACGTAAATGAGAAGTGATAGATTTTGAGAAAAATTCAATATGAATAGTTTTGAAATCGATGTTGATGATCATTTGATAAGTTTATTTGGAACTGTCAAATAAACTTATTAAATCTTGACTTATTTTATATTATGAATATAACAATCAAATACATTAATTAGAAGTTCCACCACCTAGATTTGTCAACCCTGTAAGATGTGGCAGCAATGTGCAGAATTTTAACAGTTTATTTCAAAAAAATATTTTTTTTATATTTAATTTTTTATTAATTTATATATAATAAATTGTGTACTATCGATTTCACATTATATATAAATTATTTATAATCGATATATAAAATAATTTATACACAATTTATTTATTAATTATATGGTTCTCGAATGACTTCAGAACATCACAACCTTTACTTTAGAATCCTATTTACGTCGCGTTAAGTGGTCGTATCTGACACCCTACCACCAGCAACATCTGGAAAAAGAAATAATCCAATCCAACGGCTGCCACCGTCCGATTTGCACATGTACGGTTGACCCAATCCTGTCCCTTATTTAGTCCTTCTCCACAGATTTCCCAATTTTCGCTCTCTTCGAACTACAAATGCTCTCTGCTAACATCGTTTTTCCCCTTGAAATCCCTAATCCAAAGGTCACTCTGGATCATCTCTAAGGTACTTCGAATGCTCAATCTCAGTCACACCCTTAATTCAGACATCTAGGGTTTGTTCTTTTCTCTCTTTTTTCTTGCTGTTCTTTTCTCTCTTCTTCTTTC